TGTCTTCCACTCCCCTGTCTCCCACTCCCCCATCTCCCATTCCCCTGTCTCCCACTCCCCCTGCTTGTGTTCCCTCTCTTGCTGTGTCTCTCTGTCAAACAAATAGATAAAATCTTAAAAAAGAAAAGCAAGATTCCTAAGATTTATATCCTCTGGAAGTGGGATTAGTGGAACTAGGAGAGTATTATTGTTTTGATTTGTAGGTTCCACACTCTTTTTTTTTAACCAAGAGTATGCATTATTTTTATAATTTAGAACAATTTTAAATATCATGCAAGCTTTTAAAATCTGCACCAGCTTTTTTCTGAATTTAAAACTTAATAAAATTAGGGTGCCTGGGTGGCTCAGTCATTAAGCATCTGCCTTCTGTCAAATAAATGGATAAAATCTTAAAAAAAAAAAACTTAATAAAATTAAAAACCAGTAAGGTGCTATCTTTTTTGTCACAAGATACTGCAGCCACCCTTCTGTCACAATGGTCTAAAAAAATGTGCGTAGTCATGGCTGGCTAGTTGAGCAAAGGCCACCTTGTTAGAGCTGCTGGTCACCCAAGTAACTGTGAGTGCCAAGTCATGAACTACATTAGTGTCTTTGAACCACAGCATTTTAGGAGCTTCAAAGAATCATTTTCATCCTCACAATAATAATATATGAATCAGCAATCAAAAATGATTATTTTTCTTATATTAAAAATAGCACAGGGCACCTGGGTGGCTCAGTAGGTTAAGCAACTGCCTTCAGCTCAGGTCATGATGCCGGGATCCTGGGATCGAATCCCACATCGGGCTCCCCCTGCTCTCTGGGGAGCCTGCTTCTCCCTCTGCCTCTGCCTGCCACTTTCCCTCCTTGTGCTCTCTTTCTCTCTCTGTCAAATAAATAAAATCTTTAAAAATAAATAAATAAATATTAAAAATAGCACAAATCTTTCATTAGTCAGGAGCATGCTTCAAGTACAGCTATTGGACTGTACTGTTCAACAGGGTACCTAGTAGCTATATATGTCTACTGACCATATGAAATGTGGCTAGTCCAAATTGAGATGTACCATGCTGTATATGTATATTGAATTGTGTCCTCCCAAAATTCATATATTGAAGCCCTAACCCCAAAAGTGACTGTATTTGGAGACAGGGCTTTTAGACGGTTAAATGAGATCATGAGGGCAGGGTGCTAATCTGATAGGACTGGTGGGAGGAGAAGGAAGAGGAAGAGAAGGAGAAGAAGGGAGATCCCTTTCTCTGCCCACATGCACTGAGGAATAAAGTGAGGATACAAGGAGAAGGTGGCTGTCTACAAGCAAGGAAGAGAGTCCTCATCCAAACCTAACCATGCTGGCACTATGACCTTGGACTTTCAGCCTCCAGAACTCTGAGGAAATAAATTTGTGTTGTTTAAGCCACCCAGTTTATGGTGTTTTTGTTATGGCAGCCTGAGCTGACTTGGGTATACTATGAGAGTCGAACACTTGGGAGTGACGTCAGTGGGAATGAAGTAAGAGTCTCTGAAAATTCACTCTTCCGCATAAGCAAGAAGAACATGGACCAGATTAGTCAATTCAACTTCTTCAGATCTGTATATTAACCAAGAGCTTGCAACAATCCAAGGAGGATTTATTCCAGAAAAATGGCTGAATCCCAATAGGAACTGTGAGCTTTGTGGGCACTGCCCTATTCTCACCCCCAGAGCACAGAAGATTCTCATTCCCATTCCCTCTCAGAAACCCTCCACTGAGAGTAGCTACTATTCTGACTTCTTACACCATAGATTAGGCTCACCTGTTTGGAAACACCATATAAACTGAATCATATAAAATGTATTCTATTACATCTGACTTCTTTTGTTTAACATTACGTTTGTGAGATTCATGCATATTGTTATGTGTACTGGTAGTTTGTTCTTTTTCATCTTATGCAGTATTCTACTGGATTGATGAAATATATCAGAATACATTTACTTATTTTGTTATTGAGTATTTGGGTTAACAGTCAAAACTGTTCTGAGCACTCTTATATATGCCTTTTGGTGGACATAAGCACTCATTTCTTTTGTGTATGTACCTAGGAGTAGAACTGCTGGACCACAAAATAAGCATATCTTTAACTTTAGAAGAAACTGTCAATTTTCTAAAGAGGTTATACCAACCTATCCTCTCTTCATCAAGTAAGGGTGTTTCAGTTGCTCCACATCTTCTCCTAAGATGGAATTGTCAAGCCTTTTAAAATTTTAGCCATTCTAGTGGATAGATGTGTGGTAGAATCTCATCATGATTTTAATTTACATTTTCCTGACGATTAATGATGTTGAACACGTTTATTGTTATTGGATTATATACTAAAGCATCTATTCAAGTCTTTGCCCAATGTTAAGTTGGTTTGTCTTTTTCTTATTGATTTGTACTAGTCCTTTGTCAAATATACATATTGAGAGTAACTTCTTCCAGGCTGTGGCTTGCATTTTCATTCTCTCAATGGTGAGAAGAAATTCAATTCTAATGAAGTCCAATTTATCTATTTTTATGGTTAGCAATCTTAGTGTCCTATTTAAGAAATATTTGTACATCCCATTGTTATGAAGATACTCTTCTATGCTTTCTTCTAGGAGCTTTGTTGTTTTACCCTTCATCTTTAGGTCTATTTTATATCTTGAATTAATTTTTGTGTATGACGTGTGGTAGGTGGGTGTCACAGATATCCAATTGATCCAGTATCGATATTGAAAAAACCATCTTTCTCCCACTGAATTACACTATTGCATATATTTTGTACTGAATTGAATTATATATGCAGGTCTGTCTCTGGACTTCCTACACAATTGGCTTATTTGTCTATCATTGCACCAATAATAACTGCTTAATTAGTGTAGCTTTATAGTAAGTCTTGCTCTTTGATAGGGTAAGTCCTCCAACATTTTCTCCTTTAGAATTGCCTTTTATTCTAGGTTCTTTGCATTTCATTTCATTTTCTTTTTTTTTTTTAAAGATTTTATTTATTTATTTGACAGAGAGAGAGACAGTGAGAGAGGGAACACAAGCAGGGGGAGTGGGAAAGGGAGAAGCATGCATGGGACTCGATCCCAGGACCCTGAGATCATGACCTGAGCCGAAGGCAGTCGCTTAACCAACTGAGCCACCCAGGTGCCCCTTTCATTTCATTTCATTCCATTTCATTTTCATTTCTTTTCTTTTCTTTTTTTTAAGTAGTCTTCATGCCCAGCGTGGAGCCCAACATGGGGCTTGGACCCAAGACCCTGAGATCAAGACCTGAGCTGAGATCAAGAGTCAGATGCTTAACCGACTGAGCCACTGAGGCAACCCCCCTTTACATTTTCATGTAAATCTTATAATTAGCTTGTTAATTTAAACAAAAAATTGATGGGATTTTGACTGAATTGCACTGAATCTATATAGATCAACTTGAGGAAAACTGAACATGATATAGATTTCCATTTATTTAGTCCATTTTCAAATTTACTCAGCAATGTTTTGAAATTTTTATCATCTTTAGCAAGATTTATTCCTAAATATTTGATGTTCTTGATGCTATTGTAAATGGCATTTTTACATTTCATTTACACTTTTTTGTTTTTAATATGTTGAAGTACTTTGGTTTTTGTTTACTGACTATGTATCCAGCAATCCTGCTAAATCCACCGATAACAGTTGAACAACACAGATTTGAATTGGGTGGGTCCACTTATACATGGTTTTTTTTTTTTACAGTACAGTATTATAAATGTATTGTGACTTCCTTATGATTTTCTTTTTTTTTTTAAATGTTTTTTTTTTTTTTTTAAATGTTTTTTATTTATTTATTCATGAGAGTCAGAGAGAGAGAGAGAGAGGCAGAGGCAGAGGGAGAAGCAGGCTCCCCACCTAGCAGGGAGCCCGATGCGGGACTCGATCCAGGACCCTGGGATCATGACCTGAGCCGAAGGCAGACGCTTAACCATCTGAGCCACCCAGGCGCCCTCCTTATGATTTTCTTAATAACATTTTCTTTTCCTTCTTACTTTATTGTAAAATACAGTATGTAATACATACAACAGACAAAGTATGTGTTACTGTTCATCAAAAAGTCAGTCAACACCAGGCTCTTAGTAGTTAAGGTTTTGGGGAGTCAAAAGTTATATGCAGGAAGCCTGGATGGCTCAGTCCGTGAAGCCTTCGGCTGGGGTCATGATCCCAGGGTCCTGGGATCGAGCCCCACGTAGGGCACCCTGCTCAGCAGGGAGCCTGCTTCTCCCTCTCACTCTGTCTACTGCTCCCCCTGCTTGTGCTCTCTCTTTCTCTGACAAATAAATAAATAAAATCTTTTAAAAATTAAAAAAAAGTTATATGCAGATTTTTGACTGCATGGATGGGGAAGGGTTGGTGCCCCTAGTCCCTGTGTTGTTCAAAGGCCAACTGTATTTCTAATAGTTTGTATAAAAATTCAATCAAGTCATCTGCATAAATAGGTTTTATTATTCCTTTTCTGATCTTACGCATTTTGTTTCTTTTTCCTGCCTTGTTACATGGGCTCTGTGTATTCCTTTACCTCCTCTTTTTTTGTTCAACATTATGATCATAAGATTCATTCACATTGTTGCATGTGGCTGTAGTTTATTTCTTTTCTTCACTGGTTAATGTACTACTGGCTAAAATCACTACAATTACTTGATTTCTATATAACCTTCCACTTAGCCCAAACTATATGATTGGTAAATTGCAAAGAGACAAAAAGAACATTATGGAATGGCAATTACACAGAGAATTTCTGTAAGAAATCTTCAAAATTTTCACCTAGAACTTGATAATATTACAATAAAATACATGAATAAAAATGTGTCAATGTGGAACTAAGTAAATAAATTATTGAGAGGTGTGTCTATCCTTTTTATCAGTTACAAAGAGTTTGGAATCTAATTTTGAAATCCAAGTGTATACATAACAGAAGAAAATACACCAAAATGATAACAGTGAATAAATAACATTTTCTTTTCCAGGAATAATATTGCTCTTCTATATGCTTTTCCTAACTTTCCAGGGACATCAACATGGAAAAGGGGCGAATATGGGAAAGGGTGAGAAAAGTGGTGGGGGGTGGGTAGCTGTGGGAGCCTGCTAGAAGATTAACTGCTGGAGCCAGGCAGTGAATCAACTCTACAATAAAAATGTATCAGTTTTAAAAATCAATATATGTTTTAAGTAAAACAAATTTCGTTCAATTTCTTCCATCAGTGTATGATTTTAAAAAAGAGGGGCACCTGGCTGGCTCAGTCAGAAGAGCACATGACTCTTCATCTCAGGGTTGTAATTCAAGCCCCACTTTGGGTGTGGAGACTACTTATGTAAGTTAAACTTTTTTTTTAAAAGATTTTATTTATTTATTTGACAGAGAGACACAGCGAGAGAGGGAACACAAGCAGGGGGAGTGGGAGAGGGAGAAGCAGGCTCCCCGCTGAGCAGGGAGCCCGATGCGGGGCTCGATCCCAGAACCCTGAGATCATGACCTGAGCTGAAGGCAGACTCTTAACGACTGAGCCACCCAGGCGCCCCAGTTAAACTTTTTTAAAAGTAAAAAATAAAAATAAAAAGAAGACTGGTTCTGGGGCACCTGGCCTGGCTCAGTCAATAGAGTATGCCCCCACTCTTTATCTCAGGGTCCTGAGTTCAAACCCCACTTTGGATGTGGAGCTTACTTAAAAAAAAAAAAAAAAAAAGGAGACTGGTTCTGACTGGAAACTTCTTTAAACATCTTATTGTTCCTTCCAAATGACTGCACTGAATATTTATGTAATAAGAATCATACTTAAGCCAGACAATCTAATGAAAATTTTGCTCACTTGGCTTTCAAAATACTTTAGATGGAATTATATAGTCTTCAGTGCTAAAAAAGTTTAAGATTCAAAGACTGATACATACACTGTCTTTTTGGCAATAAATAAATATCACTGAGTCCACACCAATGAAATGGGGGGCTGTTTAGGCTACAATTTATGTAAAACATTCTGTGACAATAGAGTTTACAATCCAGGTGGCAAGCCAAAAGAAAAATATATGAAAGATGGGCGCCTGGGTGGCTCAGATGGTTAAGCATCTGTCTTCAGCTCAGGTCATGATCCCAGGGTCCTGGGATCAAGTCCCGCATCGGGCTCCCTGCTAGGCGGGGAGCCTGCTTCTCCCTCTGCCTCTCTCTCTCTCTGACTATGACACCCTCTCTCTCTCTCTGACTATGACAGAATAAATAAATAAAACATTAAAAAATATATATATATATGAAAGGTTTAATTTCCACTGAAAGCTACCAGGTTAAATGCTTATCATGGGAATGAAATCTGAATCTGCTACCCTGAGAAGGCAGAGGTCTTGAGAGAAATCACTCATCCTTTCTTCCTTTTTTTTTTTGTTTGTTTTATTTATTTATTCATGAGAGTCAGAGAGAGAGATAGAGAGAGGCAGCAGCAGAGGGAGAAGCAGGCTCCCTGCCTAGCAGGGAGCCCGATGTGGGACTCGATCCCAGGACCCTGGGATCGCGACCTGAGCCGAAGGCAGACGCTTAAGCATCTGAGTCACCCAGGTGTCCCACTCATCCTTTCTTCTTGAGCACATTCATTCATTTGAATACTTGCTATGTGTTAAGGCTTAGAAATACAAAGATGCATAATATTTGGCCTGCTATCTTAAGAGTTTATAATTCTAAAAACCTAAATCTAGAGTTTAACAATCATTTACTTCTGAAGGAGAGCAGTTAATTGAATAAAGCCAATATGTAACATAAAATAAATTACGATCACCTAAATGCTATCAGCCTGTATTTCTGTTCATGCTACACCCAAGATTTTACAGATCTACTGGAGGTGCACAGCCCAGCCCTGAAAAAAACTGACAGATTAGGTGAAAACACAACTAAAGAAATCTGCCACTGGGGGCGCCCGGACAGCTCAGATGGTTAAGCGTCTGTCTTCAGCTCAGATAATGTTCTCAGGGCTCTGGGATCCAGCGGGCTCCCTGCTCAGCGGGAAGTCGGCTTCTCCCTCTCCCCCCACCGCCTCTTTCCCTCCCCCCACCCCCGGTTGTGCGCGCGCGCTCGATCTCTCTCTCTCTCATGAATAAATAAAATCTTTTTTTTTTTTTAAGATTTTTTTTATTTGACAGAGAGACACAGTGAGAGAGGGAACACAAGCAGGGGGGGTGAGAGAGGGAGAAGCAGGCTTCCTGCCGATCAGGGAGCCCGATGCGGGGCTCGATCCCAGGACGCTGGGATCTTGACCTGAGCCGAAGGCAGACGCTTAACGACTGAGCCACCCAGGCGCCCCGAATAAATAAAATCTTAACAACAACAACAAAAAAGGCCACCACTGGTCAGGAAAGAATCTTCAGTCAGGAACCTGCTCCTAAATCTTCAATTCATACTGGAATGAAGACTTTAATAACTCAGTCACACACAAACAAACGGAGCCGTGGAATACATACCCTAAAACAATCACACTGTATGTGTATTTAGGAGGAACACTTTTTAGGATCTGTAGGAGATTTTTTCTTAATGTTTTAAAAAAATCACCCACTGTGAGGTTCCCAAGACATCTGTTAAAGAAACTGGGGAAAGAGGAAGTCCGCAGGGGTTGAGGGTACTGACTGAAGATGTTCTTCCTATAGAGTTTTTCCCATAGGAAAAATGTTCCTAGATACACTAATTTTGTGGAATTTTTCGCACTTAATTATCCAAGTCAGAACTTGACTAGGGCACACCAAGTATAGCACTGTTACAGAAACTCCATACAAATCTGCTTGCATGAATGAATCGATACACTTGAATTCCCCCCAACAGTAGTGTCTTGACAGTAGTTGGCAACCAATATTGGTTAGCTGTATGTTCGTTGGATGTATAGATGGATAAACGAACAACTGATCCTCTTTTTGGTTGGAACTATGTCACAGGCCAAGAGAACAAGAGTCTGGGTTACTTCCGAAGGGAAGTGAGGGACCGCGCGACCCGCGGGAGTTGGGACTATCGGGCAGGCTGGGGACAGGGGCAAGGGAGTCAGCGGGAGGAGAGGCGCGGGGCAGCTCACCTTCACGTGCTCGTAGTAACTTCCGGTGCGCAGCAGGGAGACACCTTTGAACTCGGACTCACAGCTCTGCAATCTCCGCAGCAGGTGGTCCACAACCCTGTTCACAATCTCCGCCGCCACTGAGATTTCCTGGCGCCTCAGCCTCAACTTTTCCAGCACAGCTCGGGGCTTCCAGGCGCCAGGCACCGCCCCCTTCTGCCTCAGACTCGACGCTGGAAGCAGCTGGCCGAGGCCGGAGACCTCCGTGGGCTCTGGCAAGTCTCTCTGCTCCTGAGCGGCGCGCGCGTCCCTCTCGCGGCGAGATCCAGTCCTGAGAAGGTGCGGCCCCGAGGCCGCAGGAGACGCCAGCTTCTCCGCCGGAACCGCCAGCCCCTCCACCACGTCTTCAGCGCCCAGAGGCGCCTTTTTGGCGCGGACTCTCCGCGCGCGCACCTGTGGTCTCTCCGTGGAGCCCGGGGCACTCTTCTTCCGCCGGGATCCAGATGCCCCGACTGGGCCGCACTTCTGTGCTTTGGGCCCGGCGGCCCCAAGGGCGGCCGAAGGTCCGCTGAGCTCCGCCCGGGGACCCTTCTCTCCTTGCGCCAGAACCATGGGGGCGGCGGCTCCGGCCTTCGTAGCTGTCCGCGTGGCATTTTCGCGCCGGGGATCCATGCTGGCGCTCTCTATTCCCCGAAAGAAGGAAGACTTGGCTTGGGGGAAGGCCACGGGAGGAGGAGCCGGCAGTGGCAGCGGGAAATGAAACTTAAATATCTGGCGGGAACGCAGGGACCGCGGCCGGGGAGCACGCGCCCAGGCGGAACGCTGGGAAGTCACGGGGAGTCACGACCCGGCCGCCAAGGGGCGGGCCGCCCATGGTGCCCGAGAGATGCTAACTTTCTCACCCTTCGGTGCACGTGACGTCGCCGGGCGGGGAAGCACACTGAATTCAACCAGAGGGCAGCAGAGAACACTCTAAAGGAGCTTTGAAAGCTTAACAGATTTGCGGGCATTCAGCCTAAAAGAATTTTGGGAAACTACGGAGCTTCTCCCACATTGAAGTTGACAGAGAAAAAAAAATTTTTTTTAAGACTTTATTTGGGTGGCTCAGTCGTTAAGCGTCTGCCTTCCGCTGGGGTCATGATCTCAGGGTCCTGGGATAGAGCCCCGCATCGGGCTCCCTGCTCAGTGGGAAGCCTGCTTCTCCCTCTCCCTCTCCCCCTGCTTGTGTTCCTTCTCCCACTGTGTCTCTCTGTCAAATAAATAAAAATATTTTTTAAAAAAGACTTTCTTTGAGAGCGAGAAAGAGAGAGAGAAGGGGGAGGGGCAGAGGGAGAGAGAGAGAAGCGGACTCCCTGCTGAGCACGGAGCCCCATGCAGGGCTCAATCCCAGGCTGAGACCATTACCTGAGCCTAAGGCACATGCTTAACTGACTTGAGCCACCCAGGCGCCCTGACAGAGAAATTTTTTAAGTGTAAGTTTAAGTAAGGGTACTTTTTTAATTAACGAGAAATAGAAAATGTCCAACTTTTACAAGGTGGAAATGAAATGAGGACTGACTGCAATTGGAATAAAGATTTCATTTTATTTGACTTTGTAAAAGCACATACAGTCTTAAATTGTGTAGAAGTTTTTTTTTTAAAGACTTAAAAAACATTATACACTTATTTGTCAGAAAGAGAGCACAAGCAGGGGGTGCAGCTAGCAGAGGGAGATGGAGAAGCAGTCTCCCACTGAGCAAGGAGCCCAATGCAGGGACTCAATCCCGGGACCTTGGAATCATGACCTGAGCCAAAGGCAGTTGCTTAACTGACTGAGCCACCCAGGTGTCCCTGTGTAGAAGTTCCTATCTGTGAGTTTTATCCATTGGTTCTCAAAAGCCCATCAAAAAATGGCACTTATATTTTAAATAATTCATGCTGTTTGGGCCCTTGTGATTCCAGAGTTCTCCATATAGGCTTTCAAATATCTATTTCTAAAGCCAATCCCTTTACAGAAATACATATTAGACAGGAAACCCCTGGGTTTAGATGCCTTGATTACTTTTTTTAAAAACCATCCTAACCATTTTTAGGTGTACAGTCCAGTGACATTAAATAATTGATATTGTTGTGCAACCATCACCACCATCCATCTCCCCAGCTCTTCATCTTGTAAAACTGAAACTCTACCCATTAAACAATAACTCCCCATTCCCTCCCTCTCCCTTGGCAACCACCCTTCTACTTTCTCTATGAATTTGACTACTCTAGGTAACTCATGTAAGTGGAATGATATATTTGTCCTTTTGTGACTGCTTATTTCATTTAAGATAATGTCCTCAAGGTTTATCCATATTGTAGCATATGTCAGCCTTCCTTTTCTTTCTTTTCTTTTTTTTTTTTAAGATTTATTTATTTATTTGAGAGAGAATGAGCGAGCATGGGGGGGTTGGGCAGAGGGAGAGAGAGAGAGAATCCTCAAGCTGACTCCTCACGGAGTACCAAGCCTGTCTCGGGGATTGATCCCAAGACCCTGAGGTCATAATCTGAGCTGAAATCAAGAGTCAGCCGCCCAACCAACTGAGCCACCCAGGTGCCCCTGTCAGCCTTCCTTTTTAAGACTCGATATTTCGGGGCACCTGGGTGGCTCAGTCGTTGGGCGTCGGCCTTCGGCTCAGGTCATGATCCCAGGGTCCTGGGATCGAGCCCCACATCGGGCTCCCTGCTCCGCAGGAAGCCTGCTTCTCCCTCTCCCACTCCCCCTGCTTGTGTTCCCTCTCTGGCTGTCTCTCTCTCTGTCAAATAAATAAAATCTTTAAAAAAAAAAAAGACTCGATATTTCTACTGAAAGTATATAGCACATTTTGATAGCCATTCATCTGTCAGTGGACAAAAATGCCTTGATTACTCTTTTAAAAAGGTTTTCTTAAAACCAATATTTTGATATATCCTCTGATACAAAGGTTGTTTTTTTTTTTTTTTAACACCCCAGGGCAATGAGCCCTAGTTTGAAATGTGATGTGAGAAATCTGTATTTTTTTTGTAAAATGGAAGGAGGACTACTGTGTAGTCAGGCTTGTTCTCAAGCAAACCAATTTCAGGGAAAAGTAAATACAAAGGAAAAGTTTATACAAAGGATCTAAGGGGAGACTATGCCTAGTTGTTCAAACAACAGCAAGTATGGCTGGAGCTTGTGAAGTTTGAGATGTTGTGTCAGTTATCAACTTATTGCTTCTCAGACAAGGACTTAATACACCCCTCAATATATGCTGTCTGATAAACAACAGAATTCCTTTAAGCAGTTCTTTCAAAGTGCCCACTATGTTAACCTTTCTCAATAGAGGTTGCAGAAGGACTATGTAGGAGGAAGAGGTTTCCTGCAATTTCCAACATAGTGGAAGGAGTGGAAGGGGATTGCACGGCAAAGGTCAGACTCGTAGATGTGAGAACATCTAGTAGGGCCTACCCCAACTGTAGGCCCAGAAAGTGATCCCTCTGGGACCTTGCCACCTTGGCCCAGCCATAACCCATCTACAAATGCAGATGCATTTGCAAATCAAATTCCTGCCCGGCCTGGGGTCCAGAAGGTCACACACCAAGAAGTTGATCCTTCTACAAGCCTTGTGTGCAGCCTGCCTGTGGCCGAGGAGGTCCACAGAGAGCCGCTGCTCTCTTTGCAAGCCCCCTCTGTTATGTAGCCCATACTCTCTGAAGGCCTTCTGCACTTGTGATCTGAACCCCTTTTGAATTTATTCTTACTTGGATACTCTCCCTCAGCCCTAGGGTACCATATATAGTTTCTTTATAGGTTATTTCTTTTATTATAGTTATTCTTTTTTTTTTTTTTTTAGAGTGAAGTATTTGTTTGTTTAAGCAACCTCTACCCCCAACATGGGACTTGAACTCACAACCCCAAGATCAAGAGTTGCATGCTCTTACCAACTGAGCCAGCCAGGTACCCCAATATAGTTAATTATTCTTTTTTTTTTAAAGATTTTATTTATTTGACAGAGCGAGACACAGCGAGAGAGGGAACACAGGCAGGGGGAGTGGGAGAGGGAAAAGCAGGCTTCTGCAGGGAGCCTGATGTGGGGCTCGATCCCAGGACCCTGGGACCATGACCTGAGCCGAAGGCAGACACTTAACGACTGAGCCACCCAGGCGCCCCAATAGTTAATTATTCTTATATTAAATATCTACAATATGATTCTTTTTTTCTTTTTAAGGTTTTATTTATTTAATTGAGACAGAGAGGGAGAGAGAGAAAGCATGAGATGGGGGAAGGTCAGAGGGAGAAGCAGACTCCCCGCTGAGTGGGAAGCCCTATGTGGGACTCGATCCTGGGACTCTGGGATCATGACCTGAGGTGAAGGCAAAGGCTTAACCAACTGAGCCACCCGGGTGTCCTACTATGTGATTCCATATTCTGACTGGACCCAGACTGCTACAGAGTTAGTATTGAGAGTGGTCCCAGGAGATAGAGGCCTAAAGACGGGATTTGGGAATTGGTTTTGTTGTGCACTTGGGCTTGAGCACTCAAGGAGGAGGAACCAGAAAAATGAGAAGGAGTAGCCAGAAAAAATAGGAGGAAAACCAGAATAGCTTGATGATGTCTTGGAAGACAGGTAAAGAAAGTATATCAAGAAAGGGCTGTGAAGGGAAAAAAGCATTCACATATAAAGTGTCCATCTTCTTGACATTTATACTTAAAACTTAATTAAAAATCCGTCTTGGCTACAGTATAATGAAATAGTCTTACACTGTTAATGCAACCTGACACAAAGCTTTCAGAAAGCTAATTTAGCCGTTATCAAAAATATAAACACTGAGGAATCCTTTTACCCTGTATCTTCATTTATAGAAAGAGTCCCATAAATTTAAAAAGAGATATATGTACAAGGATGATGATAATATAAAAAAATTAAAAACAATCCAAATGCCCAGTAATTGGGAGTTGATTAAATAAATTACAGCTAAAATGTAATAGATTCATATACATATGGCATAGAGTAAAAAATACATTGTTAAAAAGAGGAGCAAACTGGGGTGCCTGGGTGGCTCAGTCGTTTGAGCATGGGACTCTTGGTTTCAGCTCAGGTCATGATCTCAGGGTTGTGAGATCCAGCTCCACACTCAGCAGGAAGTCGGCTTGAGGATTTTCTCCCTCTCCCCCCGCCCCTCACCCATGCATGCATGTTCTCTTTCTCAAATAAGTAAATCTTAAAAAAAAAAAAAAGCAAACTAAAAAATAATATAATCAGTGTTATATGTGCAAAATAATAATAGCATGAGTAGTTGTATAAAAAAAAACTAGGAGGCGGCATACCTGGGTGGCTCAATCCGTTAAGCATTTGCCTTCGGCTCAGGTTATGATCCCAGGCTCCTGGGATCCAGTCCTGCATTGGGCTCCTTGCTCAACAGGTAGCCTGCTTTTCCCTTAGCCGCTTCTCCCTCTGCCTGCCATCCCCTGTTTGTGCTCTCTCTCTCTCTGACAAATAAATAAAATCCTTAAAAAAACACAAACAAAAAAAACCTAGGAAACATTAGCAAAAAAATGCTGACAATAATTACAGAGGTGGGGATCAGGAGGGCTGACGAAGTTATAGCTTCTTTAAGTCTCAAAGTTTTCCATTTCTATTTGATAGATTTTAATAATCATTTGACTAAAACTACCACATGGGTTGTTTCACTAACCAGTTAAAGGTTTCCTCTCTAAGGAAGGCTTTAAAAATGTCCCCCCCCCCAAAAAAAAAGTCAATTTCCAAAGGCTGGACATTTAATCTTCAACCATTTGATTCCCCTAATTGGCCATCATGAATCTTTCATCCACAAATACATTTTAACTGCTTTCAAAGCTCCTCCTATTCAGAGGCTAGTCTTTATAAACAAACAGAAGTCCAGGTGATAGTTTACCAGAAAATTCAAAGAATCTTATAAGGCAAAGTGATTAAAATCATTGTCTGTAGGTGACCAACTGGAGATTAGGGCTGCCAATCGCCGAAAAGGACAGAAAATGTCCAAGCAGGAGCCATCAATTCACAGCCATATGTAATCAGAGGCTTCCAGGGACCATGAAACAAGGTTCACACCATCTGGGCCACCTGCACAGTTACCCGGTCTCGCTTCTCCAGTGAAGTCGCGCCAAAGCCCCAATCAGCGCTGACGCTGGACGTAAACTGCTACGCTGTGACATCAGAACAAAGATGGCTGCGCCCTGAAGCCTTTTCTTCCTATCCTAAGTTTTTGCGCCTAGTTCATGTCAGGTTCAGGGTCAGACTCTGCCTTTCTCCAGCTATGTTTTCTCTCCGAGGTTGTGGTCTCTGTGTCGCGGCTTCCCTCAGCAAAAAGCACCTTCCGTTGGCCCGGTTCATCGGCGACAGCGCGGCGCCCGTGGCTGCGAACTTTGACGTGGTAGTCATTGGCGGAGGACATGCCGGGACCGAGGCAGCCGCCGCTGCTGCTCGGTGCGGCTCCCGGACTCTGCTACTCACCCACCGCGTGGACACGATCGGTGAGGAGTTTGGGTAGCGTGGAGCTTGGCGTAGGACGCAAGCTGCCAGTAAGCCCCTTCACCCCTTCCCGGTGGCCTGATACGGGCAGCCTCTCCTCTCCGCAAGCTAGTGAGAATCCTAGTGTCTGTGGTTTTATCCTAATTTGAGTTTCACAGATCAGGTAGCCCTGGCCCAGAACCCTGGATTAGGCTGTTACGTGGACCATGTATTGTGCTGCTGCTGACAGAAGTAGTTGAGGGAGTTGGGGTCCGTGCCTTGGGAAAGGGGGAAACTAAGAAAACAAGCTGATAGCTTCTTACTTCATTGTTGTCATTTACCCTTTACTAGCTTGTTGCTTTGGAAATGGAGTGAATTAACATTTATTAGGAATTACTTGTTAAACGACTGTTGTATTTTTCTCGAGATTTTGTGAAGCCCTTTTGAAGAACGATGCTACTTTTTATTGCATTCTATATCTCTACTTGGTGTTTGTTTCCTAATTTTGTACTCAGGAACTGGCAGTGCTTTTTTCCCACTTGATGGCTATAATTTAAAGCAAGACCTCTCTCTAGCACCATAATAGATGCTAGCTAAAACATCATCTTGTAAATCATGCAAACCTATGTTTTTTTCCTCCTGCATTTAGCTCAGGAGTCAACAGTAGAAATATTAACTGTTTTGCAAAAATTGTGAATAAATCACATATTTGATAGTGAAATATTTTTTTAAGAATTACCATTCAGCTTGTAACTGCGGAGAAATATACACTGTTAACAGTGATTCTTTTAGAAGGGGGTGATTTGATTTTTTTTTTAAAAGGTTTTATTTATTATTTGACAGAGACACAGCGAGAGAGAGAGAACACAAGCAAGGGGAGTGGGAGAGGGAGAAGCAGGCTTCTGGCCCTGGGATCATGACCTGAGCCGAAGGCAGACGCTTAACGACTGAGCCACCTAGGCGACCCTGGGGGTGATTTGATTACCCAAAAGATTACACTTTGTTTATTGTACATTTCAATGTTGTTTACATAAAAAAAAAAAAAAGGCAGGATACTACTTTTCAATAATAACTTAAAAATTTAATGAAAAAAGTATTATTGAACTAAGGTCATTAAATATAAGTAATGTAGTTCTGTGAGGGATAAAGGGATACTTATCAAAATCCATATTCATATTATTCTACCAACACAGTTCAATCCGTTTTATTTTTAAATAAATGCATTTCAGAGATAATAAGTCTTATAGATGAGCTTAGTAAGTGACAATTTTGTTTTGAATCAAAATCTCATTTGTGTGGTAATTTAATATAGTGGAGTATCTTTTTTTTTTTTT